TCGAGGCGTGACGGCAGCGCAAAGTTCTCAAGAGAGAGGCCTTCATGTTCACGAGCCTCCAGCCAAGCTTTCGCCCAATTGTTGCCAGACAACCCACAGCCGAGGGCTGCGTAGGGAAGCAGCCGGGTTTTTGCCTCCTTAGAGACAGTCGTCTTGGATGTCAAGCCTGATGCAACAACTAAGATCACGCCGTCGGACTCCTGAATTGAAATCTCCTTGAGGTTCTGAGAATCGCTCCATCTGTCAGCCGAATGCGCACAAAACAGCAGCTGTCCACAAATGCACGCAAGTACTGGTCCAGTTTCCACACAGAATGCTTCCAATGCCATCAACATGGGAACCGTCAGTTCAGGTTTCTGTTGCAGAGGACGCTTCATCAAATATAGGTCCCGGCTTATGCCAAGCACCCGGCTGGAGAGGACTGTTTCAGGCTCCATGTGCAGCAACTTGGCGACCCCGTGCACAAAGCGAAGGCCTTCCACAAAATGCGTCACGCTGGTCGGTCTGGCTCCTGAGTCACGCAAGAAATTTGCATACATGTATATGGTCGGCTCATCGACTGCAAGAGGGCTGTCTATGCTCTCTGTTGTGCACCAGGAAAAATACCTCAGGAGGGACCCACCTCGCTTTGAGATTGTCCTGGAAGCTTTAGTTCTGAAGGCATCCGAAAAAGACTTCTTGATGGCCTCCTCGTTTACATCTGCACCGAGCAACGACAGCAAAGACCTTCCCAAGCTACTCACCTCTGGGTCCCACAAGATGACCAGCCTCATCTTCTTAAGAGCAGCCGTTCGGATGTCTTCCTCCGACCGCTCCACTGTGATGCGTTTCAGGAACTTAACCGTCGTGGGTGGCACACACCTTCGTTTTGCTTCGTCATCGGATTCCTCTGGATCAAGAAAATCAATTGCACCAATAACTTGCAAAGGACTCGTTCCTCTCTCCCAGGAAAAACGCAAAGACGAAGATGTTTCCCATGAAAATCTCGGCCTGCTCTCAAAACGCTGTTGTGAAGTAGCCTCTACAGCTGCACGCTGGAAATCACCCAAGATTCGGTCATCTGGAAGAGGGACCAGAAGCGAAGCGTCATCGGATTCTTGAAAAGAATGGCTTGCCACACGCAAGGTGGCACTCAAGAAATCGTCTGTCTCCAAGTCACGACAGGCGTCATACCAAGCAGCTTCAGAAATTGAAGTAGGTGCACACGACGAAGGCGGTATGCGTGGGCCGAATGCAGGCTCTCTGCCCTGAACCCAGCCTGGGTCGACCCAACCCTCGTCGTCCCCTGGAACCCCGGGCAAACCCTGAAAAGGCCTAGTGCAGTTGACCCAGTTGCGACTCTCCAAAGCCTCAGTATCTTCAAGGGCTCCCGACTCACCCCCTTGGAAAGAGCCCTGAAGAGAACGAACGAAAGACTGGGCTTGCTCATCAGCGGCACGCAAGTCACACTCGGTCCGGTCGACCACACCTGCGGGGCTGAACAAGAGCCAAGGGTCGAGATTGTCGGGTTCGGAGGAAGGATTCGACATGTTGCAAGCGGCACCTTAGTCGGACAGCTGAAGAAGAAGGCGAACACACGTATGCGGGCGGGGGCCGGTGCAGGCAAGAGCAAGCCAATGAGGAGGGTCGAGAAACAAAAGGATCCTGGATCCTTCTCTGGTACTGACCAACACGCCACAGAAAGAGCTCTCGAGGACATACGAAAAGAGACTGGGAGGAGCGTCTAGCTGACGCTGAAGTGAAGCGGTATGAAAGGACCGAGGCCGGATGCAAACCGCCTGGAAAACGGGGGCTGGCGGCACAACAGGCCAGTCCCAACTGAGAGAGCTGCTCGCAGAGCTCGACTCGCTGTCCATCCGCCGAGAGCGCACAGGCTCTCGGCTTGCACGACCCCTAAGGGGAGACCAATAGCACCTCGAACCTCTAGCACGGCACCCTTACAGGATTAGCGGAGGCTCAAAAGGACAAAAATTTTCTCTCAGCCCGAGCTCGAGCAGCTGTGAACATGAACGGGCCAACTGTGGATTCAAGCATGCAGCAAGTCACATGGCTAAAAATAACGTTCATGATGCTGAGGAAAATTCGTTTAAAACTCGAAACACTTTCCGCAACTCAAAAAGGTCGCAAAAAGGATTATTAAAAACCCCGTGCTCGAAGGAAGAGCACTACAACTTTAGTTTGAGAGAGAAATGTCAGGCGAGCTGAAATTTTCCATAATGGAGGCGGAGTTTGTTGCGGTGCTGCTTGCGTTCCGCCTTTGGGGCAAAAGGGTTGCGCATTCACCTGTTGTGGCTTTCATCGACAACAATGCGGTTAGGGATATTTTGATTTCCTGTCGGGGTAGGTCCCCAATAGTGAAAAATCTGCTTACAATGTTTGTGGGCTTGGAGGTGGGGTGCGAGTTCATCCCTTGGTTCTCGCGAGTCCCTTCCCCGTCGAACTGCGCAGATCACCCGTCAAGACTGGTGACCCAGCACTTGCTGTGGGGTGGCATCAGTGTCCCGTGTTCCGACGTGTCAGAGCACCTGGATGCCATCTGCCTTGATCTGTCGGCTAAGAAGGGGGCTTGAGGTTTGTTAGGGTATGGTGAGACACATGTGCAATGTATGTGCACCGTGTTGTGTGCACCGGCACATGCTAGGATGCGATCAATTGGTTCGCCCACTGATGAAAATGTGAGGGACATGCAGCTCCTGCTATGTGCTCTGTGATTCTTCAGGTTGTGGCTTTTGGGCTTTTGGGTTCAAACCCAGTATGGAACAAGCGGTAAGCTTACTGTTCGCGAGCGAATGGTGTTTTACCGTTTGCTTCCAAAATGTCTCTTCGAAAAACGGTGTGTGCCGTTTGTTCTTGGTTTGTAACCCAAAAGTTTCTGATGCTTGTCATGCTTGGTATTGCGAACGACAATTTGCAAACTTCGTTTGCTGGAGATCTGTGTGTGCAGCGCTGGCTCCACAGCTCAGTGCGAAAATTTTTGACCCACCCAGCCCACCCAGGGCATCACAAAGACAGGGCCCGCTGACGCGGCTGCAACTCCCTGTGCGCCATCGGCAGTCATATTAGTGTTGCATGTACAGTTCCTTCGCCCTCAAAGGGGGCTTGAGGTTTGTTAGGGTATGGTGAGACACATGTGCAATGTATGTGCACCGTGTTGTGTGCACCGGCACATGCTAGGATGCGATCAATTGGTTCGCCCACTGATGAAAATGTGAGGGACATGCAGCTCCTGCTATGTGCTCTGTGATTCTTCAGGTTGTGGCTTTTGGGCTTTTGGGTTCAAACCCAGTATGGAACAAGCGGTAAACATCCTCGACCACCAGCTGGAACAAGCCCGAAGCGTCCTCAGTTAGTAGTTAGTGCAGCTTATCTTTCATGGGGCAAGATCATGCGAAGCCACGCCTGGGCACGTTGGAAGCTTCTGTTAAAGGCAAGACGTGTCAGCAAGCGCTCACTTGCTACAGCTGCAGTACCGCTGGAGCCTGAGACTGAATATGCAGCATCAGCAAACAGGGAACGCCACCTCAGCAGCCACAGACGTGTACACTCCAGGTCATGTGTGCCCAGCTTGCTCCGTATACTCGTTCTCACTGGATTCTACCCATACCTTGCACTTGGAGTGTCCTCACAAACCTTTAATCCTGCCCGAACAGCAATACCGGAACCGATGCACAGCCCGGCTGCTAAGCGCTCCTACAAAAGGGCTGTGAAGCGAGCCAGTCGTTTTGGAGTCACCACTTATCTTGGTCGCACCTTCACTGCCAAACAGCTAAGTGTCCGCTACCAGCCAGACAACGCGGGCAGCAAGTCTTCCTCCCCACAGGTAGAGACCACAGCACATGGCCTGCGCATTCTGTACTGGAATGCTGGTGGGCTACATGCCTCCAGACATGCAGAGCTCAAGCACTGGCTGCACATCCAGGACGAACACACTCGGCCAGACTTAGTGGTCATCACTGAAACGCACTGGCCCACCACAATGGAATACCCAGCCACTGACTGGCAAGCCGTCCATACTGGTGTGGGCCAATCACAAGGGGGGATCCTTGTGTTCGTACACAACTCAGTATGTCCGGCACACGACATCCGATACAACGAGCTAAGGCCAGGTCGATTACTACATGTTCGAATCTCGCTGCAGAAGCGTCCTGCCCTTGATGTCCTGGCCGTATATCAGCACGCTTGGAACCCCGATGGTGGAGACGGTGACAGGCAAGCACGCATTAGCAAACCGGTCGGACATCTGGGATCGTATCTCTAAATGGGCTCGCTCGGTTCCTGCTCGAAACCTTCTTCTCATCGTAGGGGACATGAACTGTCCTTTGCTGAAAGAGACCACTCATGTTGGCAAAGGAACCCCTATACTGCCCGCGGGTCATCACTACAAAGATCAGTTTCGATTACAGGACCTTCTAAGGGATCATGGTCTGTGCGCGTTAAATACATGGGGAAAAGCAGGGTCTCCCTCCGTCACCTTTAAGCCACTTAAGGGCATGGGCACTCAAATTGACTTCTACCTGATGAGATGCCGCCAGACAACGCCTCAAGCCCTATGTGCGAGCACCTTGATGAATTTCCCACTCTTGCCTGAAACGGGGATGTACCATCTCCCAGTCAAGGCGCAGCTGCCGTTACCAGTGGCACCTCGCAAAGCCGGCGAGAAACAGGGCAACTCACTTAAAGCCACACAGGAGCTCATGAACAAATACCCTAAACTCCTCCCCACCTACCAAGCGCACCTACCGGATCATGTCTTACTACATCAGGAGCTGACCAAAATCATGGCGGATGCATGGGCAAATGCGCTTGATCAGTGCTGCGTGACCCTCAATCCCTCAGAAGCTCCCGCAACGACTCTTGACTCGCCTGAGGTAGTTCATCTTTGGCAACACCGACAAGAGTTGCGGGCACTACAGCAGGCCCTTGCCACCAACCATGACACCTTTGTTGGCACTCTCGACCCTCAGGTTCGTAAGCATACTAGAGCCAGACTAGCAGCGTCCATGAAGGAGCTTCGCAAGATTAGCAGACTCAGAAAGAAGCAACACCTTGATGCGCTCATTATGGAGGCCAGGAACAGCAGCAGTCCCATGACAGCCGTTCACCAAATCCTGAAGCGCTATGCACCAAAGGTCAGGCAGAAAAGGCTCCAGCTCCGCACCAGTCAAGGACACATCCTCACGCCGCAAGAAGAAATGCAGCAGATTGTGGGACATTTTAAGCAGGTCTACAAACAGCCAGACCATGCACCATCGGGCAGGCCTGTTGATCAGGCCGTTGTCTTTGATCCACACAGTGTGCTCCTAGCGTTCAGCAAGTTGCCTAACAAGGCTCTTCCTTCACACTTCCTGCCTGCCCCGTTCTGGCGAGCCTCAGCTCACCTTGCGACGCAGGTGTTCCAGCAGACCCTTGTGGCAGCCTATGACCGGGAAGAACTTTTGCTGCCCAAGGCCTGGCACGAAATACAAGTGGCACTCATCCCTAAACCGTCTAAGCCGGCGACCTCCGCCGACTCGCTAAGACCAATTTCACTGCTTTCGCCGATGGCCAAAGTCCTAGCAAAGCTAGTAGCGGAGGAAATTCGGCCCATAGTCTCGAATGCCGCAACGCACATCCCACAATTTGCATACCTTGAAGGACGACAAACCTGCGACGCTATCGACAGGGCTTTTGGCCATTGCAGAGAAATCCGAGAACGTCGCCAAAATGCCACGGTCACCACCCGTGATAGGAGGGCGGGCAAAACTGCCCAAATCGTCTCGGGAGGCGTCACGCTCTCACTTGATCTACGCAAAGCCTCCGACAGCATCCCCTGGCAGTGTCTGCAGACATGCCTTGAGCACTTCCGGATACCTGCCTCGATCATTCAACTTATTTTGTACCTACATGAGAACGCTACGTACATTTTTAAAACTCCCAGGGCGCAGGGCTCTGTGCTGGCGGGGCAAGGCATCAGGCAAGGATGCGGATTAGCGCCGATGCTCTGGACGCTCTATTCCCTCTATCTTGCATCCAAACTTGACACTGCTGCGCCCTCAGCACTCAAAACTTTCTTTGCGGACGATTTCCGAGCGCAATGGACGATCGAGACCTGGTCGGACATGAAAAGTGTCCCCACGCAAATTTCCAAAATCGTTGCAGTCTTGGAAGATCATGGTATGCAACTTAGTCCGGGCAAAACAGTGGTCCTCTACTCGCTCTGGGGTACGCAGGTGCATGCATGCCTCAAGCCCATGCTGTATCAACATGCCACTCTCGGCAAATGCCTGCGAATTGGGGCTGCCAACCTCACGGGAAAGTGCTACCTGCTGCCGGTTGTCATGTCCCATGAGTACCTTGGCGTCAAACTTTCGTACAAAAACTTTGAGTGGCAAACCCTTAAGCACCGGCTACGCCATTCCTGGATTGCCTATAATCGGTTATCTGCCTTGCCAAAGTCTAAAGCCCTGCCAGTGCATAAGCGATTGCAGCTGCATCAATGCATATGTCTCGCCACCCTTCGATATGGGCTCTCCTGTACAGGACTGACTGTGGCTGGTAGGCAGAAAGTCTATGGCACTGTCCGACAATGGCGAGCTTTGGCTAATAACCTTCCTCACATCACTGGGCTGTCTAATGCGAATTTCTTGACAAACTTTCACCTGGCTGACCCCCTGGAAGGCTTGGACACTACTTTGATCAAAAGGCTAGATAAGGTAGAATCAGGGCCTGTTGCACAACTACAGCCAACCGTCGTAAAAAGATGGTGGGAGCACCTCCGTAAAATCACCAATGATCCGACTGTTACGCAGGCGGCAAGCAAAGTGCCCCTCAGACATCAGGATGCCAGACCCCCAGCTCCATGTGATGTATGCGGCCTTTCCTTCCCCAACGAGGCCACGTTACGTTGGCACATCTCCAACGTGCATGTCAAGCTGACTAAAGAGCAACATCATGCGAAGGAGGCAGCCTTTCGAGAACGAAAGGCCTCGCACATGCAACATGCACACGATGGTATGCCTACGTGTCGACACTGCAGACATGAGTTCTCATCCTGGCCGCAGTTTGCGGCGCATCACAATAGGCAGTGTTGCCCAGTACTTCACTTAGGATGTGCCCCGACCCTACCTCCATATCCGCCAGACCCTGAACCCCTGCTGCAGGACGAAGCTTTTCTGCAAGAGGCTCAGTCGGACGATTGGAAGCAGCTTGCACAGAAAATCCGCGCCATTGGGCGATTGCACTACTGCCCCTTCTGCAACCTTTGGATGGCCAAAACTGCCATGTTGCATCAACATATCAAAGCTCAACATGTGGATGCAACCGCTCACCTTGACCAGTGTCAGCATTTCCTGCTTACGCGAAAGGGTGTCAACTCCCCCTGCCAGCACTGTGGCACTCGGCACAACCGCGCGGCTGTGGGGTGCTCAGTACTGGTTCGAGTAGCCTTCATCCTGCGACATCAAAATCGCTTGGGGATCCTTCTTCATGCCTCGGAATCGGCCACAGGTAATGATGGACGAGCTGACAAGAGGCGCCGCCGAAATGGATCTGTGGAAGTCCATGATGAACAAGCCTGGGGAGGTGGGACAAAAGTGGCAAGGAGACCGAGCGGAGGACCTCAGTCGCCAGAAAGGTCGGCAGCGCGGAGATCGGGGGAAAGGCAACCAGAGCTTCGCGAAGCAGGCCAAACAGGCCTCCGGACCTTCTTCGCTGGACAACGACGAGGACGATCCCCTGAGAGAGGCCGTGAAGCTCATCACGACCCTGTCCCTTCGCCACGAGGATGCACTGGCCATCCACCGTCAGGACACCAGCTACGTGTTCTTCATGAAGACCAGTCCGCCGGAGCTGACAGTGCTCAGCGATCTCATGCGAGTCGGATCGGAATGGAAGGCCAAGAAGGAGCAGTCACCAGCTCTGGTAACCCAGCCCTTACGTGTGGTCCTCCTGGGCTGTCTCCTGGAGGCGGTGACTACCAGGATGCAATCCCTGCAGGATCCAACGCTACATGCCAAAGCACAAACGGCCAAACTGTTAAATCCAGCGGGCGACTTTCACTACATGATGTGGGACGACGCGGAGAAGATATACCAGAACAAGGACGATCGCGAATCGATCCCCACGAAAGCGGTACTCGAGGACATCGCGACCTTGCAGAGGCTGATCCTCCAGCCACGAGTGGTAGGACGCTTTCATGCCCAACGGAAGCTTGCGCCGGACATGCAGGGGGAAGTGGTGCCATTCGTCCTGGAGATTGGCCTACGCAACCAGGCCTCACACGCAGTCTACTTTCTGCTGGACAAGTACTGCCACCAAGCGATCTGGCACCTGGCAGGCACGTCCCTGAGGCACGACAAACTGGGACGAGGAGCGTTGGCCAATGCGCTGGAGAAGCTTGCAGAGAAGCTTTGAGGCGACTCCGACTTCAAAACTCCAGTAACCATTGCTATGCTAACAGTCTAATCCTCACACTCTTGCATGCACAAAGCTTCAGGCGCATGACGTTCTTTCGTGATGATCTTCAAAGGCTGATGTCCTGGCTCGTCACTCAGAAAACGGCTAAGCTGTGGCAGCTCATGCCCTGGACCCAGGCGCTAAGAACATGGGCACAGCCAAATATGCAGCATGACGTGGCAGAATTTGCCAAGCACTTGTTGGCAAATGAGCTACTCACAGCCCCCATGAATGGAGAATGGCAAACCAGATTGCATGTGGACGGCGCTATTCAGGTCACAGATCGAGGTACCACTTGGCCTATCCTGCTGCCTGAGCCCCTGCTGACCCAACAAGAATGTGCGTTGCAGAGCTTAATTGATGCATGGGAGTCCCAGGCTGCTCCGCACGCGCTTGCTACTGATCCCAGTGAGCTCTTGCTGCAACTCAACAGGTTTCGAGAGGTTGGTGGAGTCTACGCCAAATCTACTACTCCAGTTGTGCCAACTGATACCCTCTCCATTCCTGTGTTTCATGATGATGGTTTGCAGAGGGGAACCCTACGATATCGACTAAGAGCAGCAATCATTCACATCGTGATACCCCTCAATCTGGACACTACAGGGCTGTCACCTTCCATGTGGGGGCCACTGCCTACTTGCATGACGATAACAAAGTTGCCCAGAAGCTCACTACCAAACTTCTAAAAACCCTGCACACCCAAGTCTATCTCTGCCTATACTCCAAGATCGACAATCCTAACTCAAGTGCTGACCTCGCCGTAAACATATCATCTGATTCACCGCCACCAACTTCATCAGCAGGGTAAGCGGTTACCGCCCCTGATGGCTGCGTGGGTACGCGGACTCCGCCCCCTAAGTAGCGTTTCACAATCAACGCCAGGTTAAGCGCGGGTAAGAAAGACACGGGGGAACGAACCATTTCGAGGGTTCTCCAAGGGTTCATGGTTTTTCAGGTTTTTTTGGGGTTTAACGATGTTTTCCTGACAGTTCTTGTTTTGGTATGTTTTGGTAAGAATCATGCCTTTGGCCGAATTTTTCACTCTACGGGACCCCTAAAAAAGATCGTTTCGTGCGACTTGCTGTGTGCCGAGTTCTGCGAAACCTACTCAAAACCGAAACGGAGAAAAAACTTATGGTTTGGCCTGGACCTCGGGCTCCTCGGCCCGCCCTAAACTCCAAAATGCAGCCGTCGCAATGTCGGTTCAAGGAATGAGTCGTTTTGGGTGAAAACTTGAGAAACATGGAGCCGGAGTACGTTTCATGTGAGCCTGGCAGCTCTGCGAAGCGGAGCAAGCCATTGGGCCGCGACGCACGTCGCTTCAATATTGGTGATCTCATCTTGCTTTTTTCGTTAGAGGGTTCAGGACTGGCGGTTTGGAACAGTGGCAGAGCAAAGAACGCGAAGTTTCTGGGCGCTCTGATTTGTGACTCGGCAAAGCAGCTTGGGAAAGAGTTGCTACTGCGAGACTTCAAAAACTGCTGTGAACACTGGCAGAAGTTTGCAAAGGCAGACGTCAGAAGGAAAGAGACGGCTCTCAGCCAAAATGCAGAGCAATGTGATTTTGGCATACTTTCAGTAGGGCCATTATTTGTAGCCTCAGGGCATCACGTTTTCGGCAAGGCAAGCTTTCGAGGGGCGCAATTGCAGAAGGTGACTCGACTGAACTCGTTGTCGCTTTTGAACTTGGTGCCTGGGTCATGGTATGCCAGAGGCGCAAATGTCCCTTCCCCAGCCACATTTCAAGAGTTTGTGCAGAGGATTAAGTTCTCAAATTGCAAAGCTGTGATGTTGCCAGAGGGAGTTGCCACAGCAGCATTTGCTGCGAGGGCTCCACATGGCAGGTGCTGCATCCTTCCTGTTTCCATGTGTGATTCTCTTGGTCTTGCACTTGAAACGGCTTACGAAGCAAACGAAGCACTACCAGCGTGTCCTGCGGAAGCATCAGATGCTGTTCCCGGGCGGCCCGGTGCTTCACTTCTGGTGCGTCCCAGGCACGACGCAGCCTTGCATGTGTTTTATGCATGCTTAGGCCACTACGTGCAAAATTTGGAGGACATCGAAGAGATCATCGGCATGGTGGGCTCCACGTTTCTGCCTGCTTTGGGGCTGGAGCCTGTTGTGAATATAGCAGTGCCAGAGCGCAAGACATTGTCTCTTAGCATGGTGAAGTTGGACTTGCTGCACACGCTTTCATGTCGTGTTTTCAACCGAGCCGGCGAACCGCAGAAGCGG